TTGCTACCGGCCCTTCCAGTCGAGGGCCGCCCTGTCCGGCCCGGCCCGGCCCGCGCGGGGAGGGTTCCTCCGGCCCTTTGGGTGTTCCCGGCATCAAACGCGTGCTACCCCGGCGTGTCACGTTTATTCCCATTGTAGGGATGCGGCAACTGAGGCCGGGCTGTGCAGCGCAGCTAGGGTTAGGAATGGGCCCCTTGCCCTTTGCGTGTAGTGTTGGCCGCTCGAAATGAGGGTGAAAACACACTGCCCCGATCTCCGGCTGCCCTCGCGGGTGGTCACGCCGGCGTCTAACGTCTGACGTCAATCGACTGGTTTCGTGTCGGAGATTCGGCCGGTTTCTATCCGCGAATCGGCCGGCTGAGTGACACCGATCCCTTCGAAGCGTTAAACCAGCGTAGGCGTGTTTGTGTCGGGGCACGCGCCAGTTTAGCAGCACTGATTTCAAATAGCGGCGATCCCGCCGGCAGTGCGAGACCGCTCGGTACAACGCGGGGCCCGGTTTCAGACTAGCCCCGACGGAGAAATGGGGGCCCAGATCTGTACCGCCGGTGCTCTGCAAATACTTCAAATAGACGATAGAGGTAAGAGTAAGATCAGAGTAAGTGTTAGCTGCAGAGTCGCGAGCCCGGCCCTCCCTTGCACGTAGCGTCCAAGTTTGATCCTTTATTATCACGAATTAAATAAATGCAAACTCTAAAATCAACCCGAGAAACGTGAACCGGTGAAACGTGGCTGTTCGTTTTAATGACTATCGTGACCTGCCGCTTTTACTGCTTTATTTTTGCAAAAATAGTTAACCCAAAATTGCAGCTTTAAATCCTGCGGAGAGAGGCTGGCGCTTCCAACTTGATCTTTTTATTTGTTGTGTATTGATTACCAAGTAACCTCCATTCTCTGTTTATTCTCTGTTAACAAAGAAGTGCTCACTTTTCCCCCGCTCTTATCCCCCGAACAGCTGTGACATGGAAGAAACTCCAGAATTGTAATTCATTGACTAGCCCATGAAACCCGACATCATTCCCTGCAGTTCGGTTGAGGCCCTAATTATGGGTTACAAGGTTATACAGGAAAAACGTGTTCCAGAGAGAAGTTGGTTGAAGTGAACTAGGCACAGATTCCTGATTCCTGACCTGTCATCATTTTTGTTTTTTGGTATCAACAAGAGCAAAATGCTTTCCTGTAATTGGCATGCTACACGGTCATTAATGAGAATAAAAGTGTCGCGTCAGGCTGTATTCCTGTGTCGATCAGATATGTGGTAATTGCATGAAATGAAGTGACACTGAGCCCATTAGGCAAGCGCGTTCTGTGTTGTCCACACCAATAACACAGCTTCCTCCGTCTCGGGAGCCTTTCGTTTGATGAGTGCACAACCCGCAATAGTCACAGGAGCTTATTAAGTCTCATAACAGCCCTGTGAGGTAGGCAGATATTAACAGTTAAAAAAAAAAAATGGGGAAACAGAAGCACAGAGAGGGGAAATGACTTGCACAAGGTCGTGCAGTGAGTCCCTGTCAGAGGCACAAATTAAATCCAGGTTTCTGCTATCTTGTGCCCTGTTCTAGCCACAAGATGCCTGAACAAACCTGGGAAAGTGGTTGGCAGTGCGATTCAACAGCTTTCCCTTCCTAACGCATCCCCTGCCCCTCTTCCCTTACTGCTTCCAGCATTCAGAGGCCTCAAAAGTCCTAATTTGTTGGTTGCACTGATGGGCCTGCCCTGCAGGAATTTGTGCAGTCCTCCTTTGAACCTGGTTAAATTATTGGCTTCAGCAACATCTTGTGGCATTTGATGGTCACCTACTAGGCCATCCCTTCGTTTTATTCCCTATCTGCATCAGTGAAACTGGGGCAGCATCTTCCACTCTCCCCACTGGAGATTGTGTGATTGTGTCGTTTCTCAGGGATGTGTCTGCACACACACATGATGAGACGCATGCTAATTTGATATAGGCCCAAGTTGTTTCTTAGGTCCTGATCCATTCAAGCGAACTCCTGCTCCCAGGCAGAGTCCCACCTGGTTCTGGCTTTGTGGATCAGGTTACAGCAGGGGTGGGCAAAATGCAGCCCGTGGGCTGGATGCCACCCGCCAGGCCATTCTATCCGGCCCGTGGGGACCCGCAAAAATTTAGAAAATTAATATTTATCTGCCCCTGGCTGCCTCTCATGCAGCCCTCGATGGCTTGCCAAAACTCAGTAAGCGGCCCTCCGCCTGAAATAATTGCCCGTCCCTGGGTTACAGGATCAGGGCCTTTGGTTGAAACCTCTGTGGGGCAAGGCCTGTAATCAGGAAAAACACAACAGAAAAAATAGCAAACAATACAGTATGTGTGTGTGTCCTGTGCAGCTTTGGCTCCAAACGAGCTTCTGGTAAACCTAAACACAGCCTGGCTCCTCAGCTCACTTCCATTCCTTCCATTGGATTTGTTTGTTTGCTCGCACAGAGCCTGTGATAACAATTGACTACATTCAAGACAAATATTCACTGTTTTGCAGACCCATCAAGTGACACGGTGACCCATCTCATTTCAGTATGAGGAGAACGGAAGATAATTGCTGCATAGGAAGAACGGTCCCATGGCGGTGAGTTTTATTCACGGTCTCTTTACTTTAACAGTCTGTAAGAGGCAGGGATTTCCAGCTTTAATGATGGAGAATTTTTGAGGCCCAGGCACTTGTTAGCTGGTTACTTGTCTGAGACTCACCACCTCATTTCAAACAGGCCGGACAAGAACAACTTTCAGATTCTTTTGATTATCTCTGCATCCG